AAGACTCATGGTGGCTTTACCACTGGGCTCTGGGGCCAGCTCAGGAGGAAGTCCCAGGGTCCCTCATGGGATCACATTCAGCTAGGGTCAGGGTGAGCTCTGGCAGGGTTCAGAGCCTTGCTGGTACCTGTTTCCCTTGGCGTGGTGGTGACGTAACTATGAGTTATGACCAGGAAAGTTTTAAGACTCTTTCTACCCGTCTGGAGCACAGAAGATCACAGGTGTTGTTAGGTCACCATGTGGACAGGTCCTGGCAGGCAGGGATGCATGTCGTGTGTGCACGTGACTCCACTGTGCTTTGCAGTGCGATGCAGGTACTTATGTGGGCCCTGTCCTGGCGGCTTAGTGGGTCTGTGCTACACTGAAGGCACTGGAGGTGACGTGTGTACGTAAGCTGGACGTGGTCCTGAGCCCAGGTGAGGAAGAGCCTCTGAAGTCTGACTTGCCCCTGGACTCTATTGTGTGCCCCCCATGCAGGTCACAACTGTAAAAACTCCAAGTCTCTTACAGTCCCAGTCTCACCAGCCAATCCCCATGGCCCTGGCCTTGTGCATTCATCTCCCAGCCTGCTATTCCTTGCCATTCCTCAGGGGGAAAACACTTGTCCTCCATGGGCGAGTTTTGAGAATTTGAAAGCAAATGTGCCTGTCCTTTTGGGGACTGTGACCTTTTCCACAATGGTTCCCAACACCAGGAGCTTCTGCTGCACAGGTTGTAGGTGGTCAGTTGTCACAGTCAACTCTTGGGCTCCTCGTCACGGGGTTCCTCTTCCTTCTAAGCTGTGAATCTCAGGTATGGTTTTACTGTGATCCCTCACCTCCTTGACAGGATGAAGAGAAGAGTAGCTGATAAATCCTCTCTGAGACAGGTGGGGAGTGAGCTGCAAGAATCCACCATAGCAACCAGCGGGACCCTTGTGTGCCAAGACTATGTGGGACACCAGTGTAAATGCAGCGTTTGGACTGGACATGTGCTGCTCTGCAAAAATAAACATGATAAGTGCAGCATTTCCTCCTTTCCACCCCAGGTTATCTCCGGCTTGTGTGGTACAAACTTTAGCACCACACCATTCCCTGGGATAAATCGGGGACCAAGCAAATACTCCAGCAGCTTATTGCTTGAATGAATTCCCCCAGATGTCCTCTCTTCCTTCTCCTGAATGTCATTTTTGTAAAAGCAGACAAGAGCAGAGAAACTGAAATCAAAGCAGATTTGAGAGGAGTTTGAGAATACTTGAGCCATCGTAACATAAGGGGATGTTCCAGAGGGGCGAGACATAGGACCTTACAAAAGGCAACAACCATGGGGCTTGCAGATGAGATTTTGAAATACTAATGTAACCCAAGGTGAGTAATAACAAGGGTGACCTTGCTGCGGGACTGATAGTGCTGGGCAGATGTTCTTGCAAAGCAATGCAGTGTGCCATCAAAATATGGTGAATCTTTCAATTGAAAAGAAGTATTACAGTGAAAGACACATTGTCATTAACCTCCCTCAAACAAATCTTTCTTGCTTCTAATACAGTAATCCCATTATTCTCCTCATTCTCTGAAGCAGCCCTGTGTGTCCTCCTTCATCAGGATCTTCAGTTGTGCTCTCCGGGCTGCCTT